CTACCCTTTACCCTTCATGAGAACCTATGCCTCTGCAGAGTTGGTCTAAGGACTGGCCCAATCAGGAGGTTTGAGAACGGGGTGGGGGAGAGGATGGTCGTGGGGGTGTTTCAAGGGCACCTGCGCAGCTACCTTCCTTACTGGGTCTGTTGTCGCGCAGTCCAGGAGGTCGCGCAGCTGCCAGGTGATCTCAGGCAGGCAGGCAGCTGAAGAGACCCCCTCCGCGATGCCTCTGCAGAGTTGGTCTAAGGACTGGCCCAATCAGGAGGTTTGAGAACGGGGTGGGGGAGAGGATGGTCGTGGGGGTGTTTCAAGGGCACCTGCGCAGCTACCTTCCTTACTGGGTCTGTTGTCGCGCAGTCCAGGAGGTCGCGCAGCTGCCAGGTGATCTCAGGCAGGCAGGCAGCTGAAGAGACCCCCTCCGCGGTCTTTGGGTCCTTGCTGGGTCTGTTGTCGCGCAGTCCGGGAGGTCGCGCACCCGCCGGGTGATCTCAGGCAGGCAGGCAGCTGAAGAGACCCCCCTCCGGGGTCTTTGGGTCCTTGCTGGGTCTGGAGACTACCTCTTTAAAGAGCTAGTGAAGCTAAGAGGAGGCCATCAAGGTGGGCTCTAGTCCAATTTTGCTGGTGTCAGAAGAGATTTGTACCCACAGTGAGATAGGGGCCACACGTGGACAGAGACCACGTGAGAACGGTGATGAGAGACCAGGGACCTCAGAGGTGATGAGGCTCTGTCCTGGACCGGCTGATCTTTGCATCACAGTGAGATGCTGACAGTCTGCTGGGATCCTTTCCACATGAAGCCAGTGCTGTTCAGGGGCTCTGCCCGCAAGAAGGTGGTCACCAAGTGCAGCCCCGTGACTGCCAGGATCCTGAGCTGAAATAAACCTCTTTTCTTTATAGCATAATCTGTGGTATTAGCAACAGAAAATAGACATTTAAAAACTTCCCTTAGACACAGGCCCCCAAAATGCACATTCCAGCTCCTACGGAGGGCAGTCCTCACATCCAGTCCTGTGTAATGCCATCCAGGAAACACTCAAGTGATGGTCTGGTCAGGAGAAAATTCACACCAGACACTTCAACACAGAAGTAGTAAATTGTGCCAGTTCAACTTTATTAATCACACACACAAATCTGTACTGGACACAGATACATACAATGTCAGAAATTAGAAAACTGAGTTATGTACACATTTAAAAAGCAACATTTATGTCACCCACTATTCCTATCCCCAAACTTTAACCAAAAAGTAGAGCATGAAGCATTCACAGCATAAGTTATTCAAGTAAAATGCTATTTAAAATAGCTTCATAAAGGCAATGAAAACACCTGGATTCACCCTCTAGAGGAAACAAATCCTGTGGTACAATTTCAAGTTCATAATGTCAGTTAATGAGAGAACAGGTTTTGTTACATGGTGCTTCTAACCCGTTTCTATCTGAGTCCCTACATAAAGACAGGCATGGGAAGACAGGCAAGTCATACTTAAAAGCCCCTCGATCGGGTAGAGTGTCGAGCGCAGATCAGCTCTGGAAAAGACGAGCCCTGTGTAGCTGGAGAGAGGAAGCTGAAAAGTGGTTTCTCGGGGCCACAGACTTGTTCTGTGATCGCTGCTGGGAGTCCCAGGAGCACTGCTTCTAAGCACGTTCTCCTTGGCAGGCATTCAGTAGGAGGAAATAATGCCCAGGACATGGGGAGAGGTCCACTTCTCTCTGAGTCTAGATAGGGACTGGAAAACTCCTTGAAGGCAGTGCACAGTGATACTTTTGACTCATCGTGGACAGACCGTTCCCTTCTGCCCATACCATAAACCAACACATGTGGCCGTGTTTCATTTATGAACATTGAAGTCTGAATTTCATGTGTCATGAAAAACTTCAGAATTCCTTCCCTCAACCATCTGAAAATATAAAAAATGTCCTTGGCTTTTGGGCTGTACAAAAATAGTGGCAGGTCAGATTGGGCTGATGGGCTACAGTTTGCCAACGTCTGGTATAATGGTCTTTTTCCTGTTCATGTTGTAAAATATACTTGTCTAAAAAAAAAATCTCATATATCACATTCCTTATTGAAGAATAAGAAAAAAAAACATTGAGCTGGGCTGGTGGTATAAGTTTAATGGTCCCAGCTGCTTGGGAAGCCTAGGCGGAAGGAACGCCAGCCTGCACCAGCTTCCAAAAATTAAAGAAGTAGGGCTCACTTTGGCAGCACATGTACTAAAAAATAAAAATACATCTGTTTCTTCCCATGATCCCAAATCATTCTACTAAACAATAAGCTATTTCCTTTTCAAATTACCTTAACTTTTCTTTATCTTGATGCCTCTGGGACTGGACTTGGGCCTCATGAAGCACAGAGCCAACCCCCCTGTATTTCCAAATTATTTTAATTACAAAATCGGTCAAAGATACAGCGGTGAGTCTCCAATCCTCAATTTATGTACCTAGCCAGCCAAATATCCAAGACAAGCTAAAAATGTGCCATTTGGCCACTAGTTTACAAAGTTAAAAATGTATTGCAGAGCATTCCTCCACACATCTCAGCATCAGTATTTAATTTCTAGAGAATAACTTCAGGGGCTGGGGATTTATTTAGCTCAGTGGTTCTGCCGCCTGCCTTGCAAGCACAAGGACCTGAGTTCAATCCCCGGTACCAAAAATCAGACAAACTTCAGAGCATTTATATTCTTAATAGAGAAGAGAGGGCCAGAAACAGATCTTAGGCAATTTGATGTTACACCAAAACCCCCTGACACCTATACAGCAGAAGCGACTTGTCCGCTGCGGTGTGACTCAACAGGTCTGGGCAGTGTGGCCAGGAGGCACAGTTCCGCTCCTTCTCCTTTGGGCTTTGGGGATATGGCAGGTATTGAGCTGGCCAGGTGAGTGGCAGCTGCAGGACTGGAAGTGTCCCTTTATACACAGGGACTTGTGAGTTGTTACTTCTCCATACTGTCCCCGAACCATTGCTCAGTGAGGGCACTGAGTACAGGCTGGGGCTCGGGGACAGCTGCATCCAGGGCTACCTTCATTCACATCTTCCTCCCACCACCTGCAGTATCCACAGGGCAGGATTCGCAGGAAGGAGCGGTGCAAGGGCTTTACCTCTGCCTGTTCGGCCTGGAGTGGACTCCTCAGTGATGGAGGCCTTTCTAGAAGAGCCTAGGATTTTCCTAATGGGAGTTTTTCTTGCAGATTGAACAGCCAACACTGGCCACGGGGAGTTTGTTTGTGTGGGTGTTCTGAGTGATGAATTATAATTGCTCCGATTAGGTAACTGGTACCTGAAATTCAAGGCCACAAAGTGGACTGGAAATTGTGGGAATTATTTCTGCTTTTGAGATCACAGTGCCAGAGGTGCTCTGCTCATTTGGAAGTAAAAGAGTAAGCGGCACTACCAGGACAGACAGCCCGACCCAGCTGCAGCAGATGGGCAGGAGTAAGACATTGCCCACTGGCGGGTGTCCCTGCAGGTGACAGAAATGGATCCAGGGTGTGGGGTGGGCTGTTCTGAGCCTCACAACCATCCTGCCTCTGCCAATCTTTGCTTTCAGCTTAAACTCATTTCTACAGGAAACAGGAGGAAGCTGAAGCAGTGAATTTGGGACAGCGAAGACTTTTAGTCCAGACTTGGAGAAGTGCTGTGCATCCAGCACAGCAGTGCAGGTGACTGTGCAGAGGCTGCAACAGGGGCAGTCGGGCGCCTGCCTCCTACATGGTGTCCCTAGTGCTGAGCTGGCAGATGGCCAGGAAGAGGCTGTTGCCCTGTCACTCCCCATGCCTGAGCCAGGCTGTGACACCTGGGCAGTGACCTCGCTTTACGATGGCCCCGAGGGAGCCCGCCTCTCACTGCCTTGCTCCGGGGTGGGAAGGTCACGCTGGGGACCCAGGCTGGCCCCAGGTCGGGACTCACACATTGGCCCCCACTTGAGTGGGAGGAAAGGATTACATTTGCTTAGGATCACGAGGACTCGGGGGGGGGGTCCTAAAACATTTATAACTCCAGTAGCCTACCAGTTATTTAAAAGAATGGATGGAATGTCCCCATTTGCATCGGTAAGCGTCCTCTCTTATGGAACTGAAGGCTCCTACAGGCCTCCGTAGCACACATACTTGACTTCTAAGTACTCATCAATGCCGTACTTGGACCCCTCTCGGCCGAGGCCAGACTGCTTCACGCCCCCAAAAGGGCACTCCACGGAGGAGATCAGCCCTTCATTGACGCCCACCATGCCAACCTCCAGCTGCTCCGCCACTCTCCAGATCTGTCCTGGGTCCTGAGAGTAAAAGTAACCTGAGGAATGAAGGAAGGGGGTGCGTGACATGTAGAGGTCCTGTCTCAAATCAAGGACACCAGGGACAGCTCTTTCCCTGAGCACTTAGCCTGGACCCCTCCTGGCTCCTGGTTGGTCCTCTCCAGGTCTGCATTTCTGGACCCTGGATGTCAGCTCTGCTCCTATGCCGCACTGCTAGGACTCACACTTTCCTGTCAGGCTGCAACACCCCACTCGCAGCTCTGTTTCTCCTCTCTAGCACTCTCCTGAATGCCTGTTAGATTTTCCCAGGACATTTTCTGCCCACACCTTTGGGTGGTTCCTGGTTATCTGTAGAATATGGCTCAATTCCTTAGTGGCTATGAGGACATTCCCTAATGTTCCACTAACAGTTTCAGCTTTACCTTCCATCATTCCAATCACCCACCATCATCTCCAAACCAGCCCACTCCCTCACCAAACATTTCTGAGCTTTCTCAGTCCCCTCAGAATCTCTCTGCTCTGACTCTGCATGATCAGAATCTTGCCCATTACTTACAACCTAGTGCAGGACATGGCTTCCTGTACCATCAACCCAAGGAGAGGGAAGAAACCCCAAACCCATGTCTGCCTCCATCAGTAGCTAATGCGGGACAGGAGCATGCTGACTCTCTCCCTGGGTGTGACTGGTTCTCACGTGTGGAGCGGAGGCTCCCACCGAGAGGCAGCCTTTCTCACCTGTGCCTCTGCCTTCTTCCCTGCCACGTTCACTGGACACGAACATGCTCACTTTCTCAGGACCACTGGGAAAATGCTGCGCCACCTGACACCTGCATACTGAAGCAACAGCTCCTGCCCACACCACTCCCTCCCTGTCCCGCACTCCATGCTGATGCATGTGGACTAGGCTTTCAGGAGAGGCAAAACAGAAGCAAGGACACCAGGAACTCCTAGGCACTAAGCTCCTGAGAACACTGAATTTCTCCAACAGTAACAACAATGTGCCCCATTTACTCTCTACTGTCCCCAGCTCTGACCAGAGTCCTTCCCAAAGTGTCCCACAGGGCACAAGTCAAAAGAATACAGTCTTGCCCAAATCCAGCCCTGCTACTTGGAAAGCAACACAACACGAATTCTACTGCAGTTTCTTTCTCAGGACCCAGGGCAATGCTTTAGAAGCATGGGTGGCATTTGTTGGAGAAAGTCAGTGTCACTGCCTCCCAGCAAGGATGGATACCCACCTGCTAACCCGACGTCAGTGGCGTTGGCGATCGCGATAGCCTCCTCCTCTGTATCAAACCTGGCAAAGTTACAACAGGTCATAAACAAAACCTACAAAAGGAAGAGTGCAGAAGCCCAGCTTTCTTCTCTTCTGATTTGTTTGCCGAACAATGGCGAGAGGTAAATCGGGGTTTTGCAAAGATATCCAAGGGCACTGAGCAGAAGAGGAGTGAGTACCAACTGCTGAAGGACTTGGCCTTGCTGGCTTGGGTGTCCAACTCAGGCCTGGCCTCAGTTCTTCTGGGAGGACGAAGAGAGAGCAGCCCAGCATGCAGACACCATCATGTTTCTAGACTATCACACATCCCCTAAGAAGGGACCACTGTCCCCGGTGCCCACCAAGCCCATTAGAGTCATGACTGCTTAGATGGCATCAGCTGTGCTCAGGGTGGGAGGGCCGCAGATACATCACAACCACACAGAAGCAAGCATAATGCAGTAATTCAGAGTCGGAGGGCGAGGCCAGCTCTAAGACAGGCTCTGCCACTTACTCCTGCTGCTCAGCATCACGGTGCTTGGCATCTGTTCCTCTCTGCAAGGAAGGATTTATGCCAAAGCCCTCTGCAGCCTCTTCCAGCATTACAATTTTATTTCAGGAACAAGATCTGAGTGGTATTTTCCTGTCATCCCGGAATGATAACTGTGGCACATAGTTCTAAGCATCCTGATGTTTAACTATAGAGATCTGCCAGCAAGGGGAGCTGGCTGTCTCTGCAGAGTGCACTCAGAACCTTTAACCTGCCTATGATCCAACCCCAGCCCAGGCAGCAAAGCCTCAATCTACACCCACATCACCTCCAAAGCCTGCATTCCTAGCCACTAGAGCCTCCCAACCCCACCCTGAGACAGTCCTTTGCCCCTCAAGCACCTCAGGAGCTGGAACTGGGGCACACTTTTCTCACAGCCCCCTAGTGGGATGTCAAGGGTGCTCACATTTCAGGGTTTGAAGATGAATTTAAAGAGGAAATCGGGAGATAGCTGAGGAGCTCTAAAACTAAAAACAGTAACAAACAGCACAGTCTCTACCAGGCCAGGTGGAGATTGCAGAACAGAATAAAAATGTGAGAAAAGCGATAACTGGCCACAGCAGGGTAAGGGGAAAATGGAGCTGGAAGAATCAGTTGTAGGGAAGAAATGATAGTAAAGATCGAGATGCAAAAATAATTGGGACAAAGAACTTGGCGAGTGGGTTGTATATCTGAAGAATTAATTGAGACACAGAAAGTCAAATATCATACAGTTTCTCTTATATGAGAAACCCAAAATATAAATAAAGAGTAAAATAAAGGCAGGCTTTTTGGAGAAGAAGGGATCATGGAAAGGGGTAGAGGGAGGAGAGTGGAGAGGAAGGAAATAGAAAATGATCAAGATATGCATTATATATGTCCCATTTCCTCCAAATGAATGTGAATAGCATTACTGCAAACATACACCGATAAAAAGGAGACGAAAACATAATCCAGCAGATAGAGGGGAAAGACTCTTGGAAGACAGCAGGAATGGATGAAGGGATGGAAACAGCAGGTAAGGGAAGCGGAGGCCAGAAGTAGAAATGTCATTGTAACAATCCTCCCAGGGCCTGGCAAAGGATGCACGGAGGGGGAGAAACCATTGTGAGAAACAATGATCACAAATTTCCCACTTTAGATATTACAAGACAGACACGAGGACCTGGGACTGACAGAGCCCTCGGGCGAGCTGCACCAGAGCCCTTGCAGGAAGAGGTAAAAATGTCAAAGGGAGCTCTGAAAGTTTCCAAAGATTCCAAAGCAAAAACAAAACCCCATAAATTGAGCCCTGCCCTTCAGTGGGCTCAGCCCCATAACCGCACAGGAGCTCAGTCCTGTCTCCCGTTTTCTCACCGGCTGAGGATCTTACTTGATAACCGGTGCCAGTGGCCCGAACGTCTCCTCCTGAGAGCAGAGCATGTCCCCGGTGACGTTGCTGAGCAGGGTGGGCTCGAAGAAGTTTCTTCCACACGGGTGCCGCTTCCCGCCTGTCACCACGGTGGCCCCCTTGGAGACCGCATCGCGCACGTGCGTCTCCACCTGTGTGGTGAGAAACAGCGGAGCCCTGGGGAGGCTGGATGAGCAGACTCCCGTGGCACAGTCCCTTAGAAGGTTTACACTGTAGAAGACTAATCAGTCTTTCCATTTCCCGGGGTTTGCTTTCCTCACACCCTAGCGTTGGGTCCCATGTTGTCCCTCCTCGAACTGCACCTTCGTCTTCCTCTGATCTGTTCTCCTCAGTATGGTCCTGCCCTGCTTCAAGATGGGGGTCAAACACTTCCCAGAATGTGTCCTTGGCTGATTTTGTCATCCTGTGAACGTCACCGGTATGTCTACAGCCTATCGCATGCCTACCTGAGTGTTATAACCCATCTGCTTTTCAATTTTTTTCACTAGGTATTTGGTGAAATCTTTTGATCTAAAGATCTGAGGAGGTTTATCAATTTTTTTATTAGATAAATGACCTTTTTTCCATCTTCGCAATAATATTTCATTCTATAGCTCCTCATACTAAGGATTGCTCACCTCACCTCAGTTTAGATACTTCTGGTTTAACCACTGTTTGGACTTACTGTTCAGACTTAACCACCAGCATTCAGACTTACCGCACAGGAGAGAGTGGCAGTGTCCCTTATGGTGGCTTCCTCTACAGTGCGTTACTGTAATTTTTGCTGATTGCACTGTATAGTATACTATTTTAGGTTTATGTTCTGTTTTACATTATAGTACTGCATGTAAGAGTTATGCACATAAAAGCTAAGTCATCAAGGAGCCGGAGATTTAGCTCAGTGGTGCTGCTTCTGCCTTGCAAGTGCAAGGTCCTGAGTTCAGTCCCCGGTACCAGGAAAAAAAAAAGCAAAGTCCTCAAGTTGGAGTTTAACCATTTCTTTGTCCTGAATATTGTGATGTACATACTCTATACAATGCCTCTGTTAGCAACCAACTCATTTAATGACATAAGTTGCAGGAACAAAGCTGGGTCATTAAACAAGATGTGCCTGTAATTCTAATTTCACAAAGCTCTACCATATTCTTTCTCTATGCTTTGCTTTATTCCATGAGTTCTCCCCAATTTTATCTTATATTTTCAGCTATGGATTTTTTAGACAGTTATGCATTCAGTTTCTACAGACTGTGTCTTGCTTTCATGGTTTCACTTTTACAGGCTGTGCTTTTCTTATAGGGATACTATCTCCTCAGAACTCTTGCCCTACTTTTTTTTTTGGTACCAGGGATCGAATTCAGGACCTTGCACTTGCAAGGCAGGTGTGTTGCTACTGAGCTAAATCCTCAGCCCTCTCCTCAGAACTCTTGGGTGGTGACAGGGATTCCTAGAGACATCCTTTGTTACCTGGCTGTCTGCTTCCTTCAGGGTCCACTCTGTTTCCTACTGTGACCTTTGCTGTTCCATGCTGATGGCTTCAGGCATCAGGACCTTGGTGGCCTTTGCTGCAAACGTGGCTTTATTCTGACTTGGCAGCATCCCAAGGATGGCCCCTTCCCCCAAAGGGCACAGCCAGAAGGGCGTTGCTCCTGAATCACAGCACTCCTGGCCCAGCTACTGTATTTCGTCAGAACAGCGGTGCCCAGGACAAATCCCTCTGCTGGCTGCAGGTACTGGGGACGAGGGGGCTGGTGTGCGAACAACCCAGAAAACGTGCAAGAGTATAATCAACCCGCTCCAGGTCTCCCTCCTCCCACCTCCTACTCCCTGCACAACCTATTCTAGGCAGGCTGCAGTGGCCTCTGCTGCTGCCCTGGATGGGAAGCTTTGATTTTTCTCTTAACACAGCTCCCTCCTGCCTGCAGAAGTTCATCACACACTCTGTGCACTGCAGTCCTCTTCCCCTCCTTCATCAGCTGAGTTTTCTATAGTGTTTCTGAAGAGACCTAACTACGGGGCTGGGCATGCACGTTCTGCCGTCAAGATTCACATGTTTTGAATCTAAAAACCCCATTGCGTGCAACAAATTCCCGTTAACCAGGACGGCTTTCTGTGACTTGTGTTTTAGAAATCTATTTATAACTTATTTAACACCACCTCCACTTCCTTGCCCCTTATAGAACCTGCCCCTCTCTGCAGCACATCTGCCCCTCTCTGTATTAAACGTAGTGTGCCCTATTTTTTCCCTAGGGCCCCTCTATAACAGTGTGGATATTAGAGCCAACCCCACAGATGGTTTTTATTTTTGCTTTTTTGGGGCTGAGGGTCAAACCCTGGCCCTCATGCATGATAAGCAAGTGCTCTACCACTGAGTATATCCCTAGCCTTAAACTGTGTCCTTCAACAAGGTTATTTTTATCAAACTCCACTAAAACAGAATTACTGTAGTGCTTATTTCAAGTTCTAGTATGCAGCGCCATCTAGAGGGTAATATCTGCATATCCACTTAGGGGGGAAAAAAAATCTCTAATACAAATTAGCATCATCTGGGCACTGACAAGCGCTAAGGCTGGGCTTGGGTGTGGCTCAGTGATACTTACCTGTGTGAGGCTCTGGGTTTCATTCCCCAGCACGACCAACAAAACAAGGTTTGACCTAACTTGAGACAAATTAATAGCAATGTGGGGACACAGGCATCATAGCTGTGGAAAGCACAGGGGAGGCTGAGAATTCCTGTTTGGGACTTGAACTCAAACCATGTTCACTAGACAAGCAAGCACCCTGGTGTGTCCTGGGTTCCAAAGTCACCTCTAAGATGCAAGTGGCACTGTGTGAGCTTTAATGCAATTTCTGTTTTCAGTACTCTCGCCGAGATAATAACCAGACACTTGCCAGAGCTCTGTCAAACCTCCATGCTTCCATGGGGGAAAGCAATAGGTATGGGTTTGGCGGAAGTGGCTGCCCCCTGGGTCGGGGTGGCCATGGGTCTGAGGTTGGCCCTCTGGCTCTCAGGAGGCTGAGGACCATGGTGGGTGTGAGCTGTGTCACCCCTGTGAGTACTGCCTCGGCTCTACTTGACCTCGGTTCCTTCAGGAGCTGGCTGAGCTTCACCTGTCACCACCTCCTTCCTCCCTTCTTTCCTACGTCCCATCTCCAGCTGCCACATCTGCCTGACTTAAAAGATTCTGCAAAAGTCTTTATCTAGGCAACATATTGGACATATTGGGTATTTGGTATTTTAAGAAAGTTTTTTGTGACTCTATAAAGGATTTTGGGGGGGAAAAAGAGGCTGGAGAGTATAGAAGATACATTTTTTATTTATTAGCTATTAAATGCTAAGAAATTCTTCCTTAAAAAAGTGGTTTTGTTGTGCACGTCTAGATCCTGACATGGCACCTGTGATTCTCTATTTCCCTGCTGCAGTGCTTTCCTCAGGGGTTCTCCCAGAATAGTATTCTGTGATCAAAGGAAGAATTACAGCCACTGTGACGGAAGATTTAGGGAGGGCAGCAGAAGACCTGAAGTTAGAGAAGCCTGTTAAGGCAGTGCCATCTGATCACACAAACTGGTAGGAATCCTCTTTTTTTTTTTTTTTTTTTTT